GAGGTAGTTGGCCAGGACACACAGACTTGAGCCAAGACGAGCCCATTAATCTACCTGCTCATGTGGAGATGCTGTTCCTGTCTGTCTAGACCTGAGCACGGGGGTGGGGTGGTGGAGGAGGTGGGTTGACATGTCTCCTTGTATTGCACAGAGACCTGCCCACTCAGTTCTCAGGAGTGCTCTCAATCATCTTCCACTCTCTATTCCTTTCCTGATGGTCCAGACCTCATCCTATGTACAGCACAGCTTCCTGGACAAGTGTTGTTAGACTTTCTGTTGGGCCGCTAGCTCATAAAAAAATGACACAGAGACTTCTTATTAATTATGAAAGCTCGGCCGATAGCTTAGGCTTGTTCCTAACTAGCTCCTCCAACTTAAATTAACCCATTTATATTAATCTGCATTATATCATGTGGCATTATCACTCGTTCGTCTTGCAAAAGAGGATCCACACCAGGCAGCAGCCACAATTGCTATTCCTGCCTCACATCCAAAACAATAGCTCAGACCGTGTTCCCTTGATTAATTTAAAATAAACTTCCAATTTTAGACGAGTTTGGATTTAATAAAAAGACAGCAGACTTCACAGAGAATTTCTGCACACTACTCGCCCAGTTTCCTGTTAAGATCTTGCATTAAATGTGATTGACAGAGTGAGTGAGCCAATATTTACACACTGTGAATGTCTTAGTTACGTTTCTATTGCTGTGATAAAACACCATGACCAAAAGCAACTTGGTGAAGAAAGGATTTCATCTGCTTACATATCCAGGTCACAGTCCATTGAGAGAAGCCTGGGCAGGAACTCAAGGCAGGAACCTGACAGCAGGAACAGAGCCAGAAACGACAGAGGAACACTGCTTGATCCTCATAGCTTACTCAGCCTGCTTTCTTGTACACCCAGGACCATTTGTCCAGGAGTGGCACCACCCACAGTGAGGTGGGAGCTTCCACATCAACCACTAATCAAGAAAATGGCCCACAGAATAGTCTACAAGCCAATCTTATAGGGGTGTTTCCTCAATTAAGAGTCCCTCTTCCAAGATGACTCCTAGTTTGTGTCAAATTGTCATAAAACTAAGCTGGGCAGTTAGTGACTAAATCCCTTCTTTGTTGAATGGTCCCTACTGTCATCCCTGCCCCCAACCCCCTTCCAAGACAGGGTTTTGCTATGTAGCCCTGGCTGTCCTGGAGCTTGCTATATAGACTAGCCTGAAACTTGCATCAATCCTCCTGCCTCAGCCTCTTCAATGCTAAGATTACAGGCATGTGCCACCACACTTGGCCTCTAATGTCCTTTTTCTGTTCCCATCCACCTGGGATTCCATGTTGCATTTCTGTGTCTCTGGGCTCCTTGGTTGTGACACTTGCTCGGCCTGCCCTGGTGTTTGATGATCCTGATAGATTTGCACACAGGTTCTGGTGTATTGGAGGACGTCCCTTATTTGAGCCATGTCAGGTACTTTCCTGGTGACTGGATTGCAGCTAGGAGTGTTTTGTAGGATCAGAGTGCACAGGGCCACCTCATCCCATCTTCAAAGGGCATGTGCTACAAGCACAACTCTGGTCACCTGGCTCAGGAGTGGTGGCATTTCTCCACCATGAAGTTCCCCTCCCTACTCCCCTCTCCCGTGTTCTGTATGCTCTGGAGAGACATCTCCAGGCTCAGCCCTCAAGTCAGGAGTAAGGAGTCACTTTCTGCCTGGTGACAGTGGAGCGCCTGTTCAGGGTCTCCAGTTTCTATGTGTGGTTTGCTTTTTTGTTTGGTTGGTTTTTGTTGGTTTGTTGTTTGCTTTTTTGAGGCAGGGTCCCATGTATTCCAGACAAGCTGCAGACCTGTTACGAAGCTGAGACGACCTTGAGCTTCTGCTCTGCCTCGCACATGCTGGGGTATAGGTGTGCACCAGAAACATTGTGTTTGCCTTGTTTTGCTGGGAACCTTCTGCACACCTCCATGGCTGTGCCTTTTGTCATTGTGCGTGGTACTGTCTCCCTATTTTCTAGACACAGAAAAACTGGTCCCCTTCTCGGACCACTTGGGGTTTTGAGGGGCAGGTCTGGGAATTGAGCTCTAGTATTTCTAGAGCAAGCTCTCTTAAGTATAGTGGTGACCTCTTAGTTATGTTGGGCACCACTTGGGCCCTTTTCTTGGGCAGGGCAAGGCTCACTGCGGGGAGGTAGGGAGTCACACACACACACACACACACACAGAGAGAGAGAGAGAGAGAGCAAGAGAGAGAGCGCAAGCACGAGCGAGCGAGCACATGTTGTTTACCTGTCTTGGATCCTCCTGGGGGATTAAAGCAGGACCTCTACCATGGCTGTCAAGTGTTGGATTGCTCCATCCGTGAGCTACACCCCACTCCACCCCAGTCTCCACTTGCCCTGCTTGTTAAGGAGAATAGTTAATGTTTACACAGTCTTTAGTGTCTACTGAACACAGCCATCTACATGGTCGGGGCGCTGTTCTCCCTTCTGGAAAAGCCTGGGGAAGAGGAGTGACTGTTGGATCATCAGAGTTCCAGACTGCAGTCAGGATGCAGGATTCCCATACATCCCACAATATACATACAATATCTGTACAGTGGGCAGTTTGCTTTAGAGATTTTCTGGTTTCTTCTCTCTGCCCATTCAACTTGCCAAGGATGTGGTGTGTGTGTGTGTGTGTGTGTGTGTGTGTGTGTGTGTGTACACAAACAACACCTGCTGCAAATTGTGACATGCAGTGTCACATTTTTTAAAGGAAAAGATTGAAACAAGTCGCAATTCGTTTCGCCGAGACCGGTCTAAACCGGACTGGTGCAGCACGTGTCCAAGCGGAACACAAGCTGACTTGAGAGCAAAGGTCGACTACCCCACCAGCTCTGGAACTATCGAGGCACCATGGTCTCTTGACCCCCAGCCTCATCCTGACCCCCTCACACAGAGGAGGCCGGGTAGTCAGTGAGTCCAAAAAGCACCATTGCAGGTTGGAACCTGTGTGTTATGTAGCCTGGAGTCCCAGCCTGGTCTCCTTGGCTTCGTAACAGTCAGCAAGGCGCTGACCCACCTTTTCACAGCCGTGGCTGAGTTCGGTGGTAAGCCATAGCCCTGCTTCTTAAGAATCAGAATGCTAGTTTATGTGGCTTGTTTATTTTTAACTTTGAAGTGGGTGACAGGTCAAGGATTCAATTTGGACAGCATGGACAGCAGCCTGGAGTACAAAATGTCCTTCTCAAGGGATCGCAGAGGGTCCATCCTGGATATCTGTGTCACTTGGGTGTGGCTGGGTAGATTTAATGTTGTGCTCACACAGTGGAAGGACTGGGAAGGGGGGTGAAGGCCGAGGACATATGTGCCCCCTCTACTTTCTGCCTCCATCCTGAAACCAGCTTGGCTGGGATTGCCAGCCACAGCAGGGAGACAGATTCTCCGAGCTGCCACCAGCTTTAGACTTCTCAGTCTGCGGCAAGCAGGAGAGCCCCCAAGCCCCCAAGCCCCCAAAGGGTTCCTTGGTCCAAGGTCCTAGGTCGTACCACCCATTCAACCTCTGCCCCGGAATCATGCTGGGAAGGGAACTCTGGGCCAAAGGGATCTGACTTCCCTACATTGTAAAGGTAAAGGGGAGGGTGCTGTGAAGTCCAGAGAGGGTGGGGACGCCCCTGAGGCCCTGTACCTGTGGGTCTGACAGTGGAGTTGAAAGGAGCATGGGTAGAGTGGGATTGCGCAGGGAGACTGAGACAGCCTGACCTGTGTAAGATTGGGATGGCTCTGGGCACCCAGAACCTTCCCCCAGGGCAGAGGAAGAGGGACTTCTGCAGTCTCTCATTGCCCAAGGCTTGCTGGCCATCTTCTGCAGGGTCAGGATGGAGAGAGAAGCTACAGGGGAGGGGTGCATTTAAACACCGGGAAGTGGGCAAAGGAAATTGTCTTTTTGTCCCATGTGGATGGTCCTGAAATAGTGAGAACAATGGAAATGATCTTGCATAGCCCCCTTCGGGGAGCAGGAGGTCATGTCTAGATACTTTCTTGGTTGTCAAGGGCTGGGGGAGGAGTGGTGTTTGGTTGCTCTTGTGTTCTAGGGGTACAGGCCAAGAAGACTGCTTGCCAAATTGTAGTGTGCAAGCCAGCCCCATATGGTTATCCAGCTCCAGTGACACGGCTGCTGTAACTGGGGCCCTGGTTTTGATCACGGAGGGCGGGTGGGGAGGAACAAATCACAGAAGGACTAGGGAAGGTGGTTTAGGTGGCCGAGGAGTGGCTGGGGCGGTAGACTCAGCCGCCATCTCTGCTAGGCGGGCAACTGGTCTCCTGCCGGCTAAGAGGCCCCTAATGCGAGTGCCTGGCATTTAAAAGCCCTGGGAATGAGCAGAAACCATGTTCTGTTTGTGAGGAACAAGGGAAGATCAGTGTTGTTAAATGTGGGTTTTCCCCTGCTCAGGTTTTATGGCCGTGTGTGTGTGTGTGTGTGTGTGTGTGTGTGTGTGTTCATGTGCATGCACATGAGGTGGTGTGGAGCAGGAGTTGGGAGAGATAAAGGGAGGGAGAAATACAACATGTTTTAAGTGGTAACCGGAGGTGCCCAGCATGAATTAAGACACATTCTTGCTTCGGTGTGTGTCTCCACTGAAGCTCCATACTTGGAAATGTTTCCCAGGCTCCTTTGCTGCCTGGCTTCTGTTTGCCCGAGCGACTCCTGCTGGGAGTTGACTACACCCTGCCTGTGGGGAAGTGGACTCACTCTCCCCATGTGGCAGTGCCGCCTGCCTGTGCCCCTGCCTCACCTGAGAGAGACAGAAGGGCCAGAGATGAACCGCACTGTGTGTTCCGAGTAGTGTCTCCCGCTTTCCTCTGCCCCCTGCCCCCTGTGTCCGGGAGAATTGTGTCGGGATTGAAAGAGCACACACACAGGTGACAGCCAACACAGTTTGGTGATGAACAGTGTCTGTCTTTCTCTGCCACATAGAAGTGATCAGCTCTGTGGGTACGTGAGTCTACATGCGTGTATCATTCTCTTTCAGGGCATGCCACCATCACCAACTACTTGCTGAATTATTTCCCTGGTCTGGACCTAGAAAGGAGGAACGTATTCGGCTTCACAGCCCTCATGAAAGCAGCCATGCAGGGCCGAACGGAGTGTGTGCGCGCCCTGATGCTGGCAGGTAAGTCCGCCTGTCCTGTGTGGTCTCCAGGCTCTAGACATGCCGGGGGGGGCTCTTTTAAAGAATGCATCTTAAGTAGACCCATGCCGCTTACAGAAACCGTGGCAGTGAGGAATAGATTTATTTTTTTCCTGAGCTGTATGGCTGTCATCCTTTGAGTTTCTTTGAAAAGGCAAAAGTGAGCTGGGTATATAGCTCAGGCAGCAGAATGCTTTTCCAGCACGCACAGTGCCCTGGGACTCAGTCCTAGCACAGCACAAAACTGGGTGTGGAGATGCATGCCTGTAACCCCAGCACACAAGAAGCAGAGGCAGGAGGATAAGGAGTTCAAAGCCATCCTCAGTTACATAGCCTGAGATATGTGAGATCTTGTCTACATCTCTCAAAAGCAAATGACTTCAGAGCTGGCCAATGAGGATTAATCACAGACAGCACTTGCCATTCCCCGAAACCCCACTGCTCCCTGCTACCATCCTCCCTCACCTCTCTGTCTGTCTATAGACCCTCTAGCTGTGCTCAGATTTATTCTTCAAGAGTGTATATTCTGGGGTCTGGGTGGATGCTTAGTGGGTAGACTGATGCCCCACATGCCTGAGGACTGGTATCGGGATTCCAAGAACCCACATAAATGCTCAGTGGACATGGCAGCCCGCCTGGAATTCCACACTGGGAAGATAAAAACACTAAGTGTTATTTATTAAGCAGTGCAATGTTATTTATTACGTGGTGCTGTTTACTATGTGAGAAAAGCCACGAGGCACAACAAAGCCCACTATAATGCACATGTGCATATGGGCTTATGTAGCTACACCACTCATGGGCATACATTGCATGACCATGCTGGGTGCAAATTACGTGATCACGCAGCACATGGATTATGTATGATGTAAGGCCCTAGGATGACTAAGCATCTTGCCTGGCTACCAGATGGCACACATGCAGTCACGTAGCTTGGGGAGTGGCGAGGAATTCTAACACTAAGGGGATTTCAGGACCAAGCTGGCTAGCTAGACTAGCTGAATGGAGGTGCTCAAGGGAGATTTCTGATATCAGCTTTGGGCCTCCACATGCATAGCTACTTATGTGCATGTGCATAGGCACCTGAGCACACATGTGCGTAAGGAGAAGTGTCCTTCTGGCCTTGCCTGTGTCCTGAGGACCGCAGTGTTGAAGATGACCCAGATGATGGGGACAGGGTTTGGGATGGACAGAGCCTCCATGGGGATATCCTTAGCCGCAGCTGGATCAGTATGACTGTGCACTTACTCTGTATGTCCTTCTTGACATCCCGAATACTCCCCTGTCCTCCTCCTTCTCTCCCTCCTCCCTGAGGATGAATATGATAGCACTTCATAGATGTTTGATGGACCCCCATATGACAGTCCTTGTGACTGATCTGAGTTCTTTTCCTGGCCTGAACCGGAAAGAATCATTGCTAGAACAACATGAGCAGGTTTCTTTGAGAATTAATTGAGAGAAAAAAAATGTCAAGTGCACATAAGAGTGGGTTCAGAGTTAGCAACTAACACCACAGAGGGTGTTGCTGTTACTTCATGTGGCTGTTTTAAATAATCTTTGTTCTCCACTCAGCATGTAGCCGAGGCTTATAAAGAGTATCTGTGTGCTGTTCTCAGTTCTAGAGGCTGCAAAGCCTGACATAAAGGCATCAGCAGATGTGATGTCTGCGAGGATCCAAGCTTCCTTGTGTCTTCATATAGCAGGGTCAAGGTGTCTCACATTAGACTTTCTTTACAAAGGACACTGATCCCATGTGGGGCCTTGCTCTCAGGACAGGCCATGTCCTAACAGCCCTAGCTCATATTACCGTCACAGCGGGTACAAAGTTCCAGCATGTGAGTTTTTGAGGACAGAGGTCAGATCACAAGGCTCCTCTGGTCCTAATTACCCAAGGGTGGTGACATTGTTCTAGACATCGGTCCTTCCATGAATGCCTTATTTCTGCTCTGTGTCCCCAGCTGGCACCCACATGCGGTTCCCATGTCCTCCATCCCCTCTGGTCTGTGACAGTTGCTCTGTCTTTACCGGTTGTTTGTGGTTTGGCATTGTGCGGTATCTTTGTGATTAGTCTGGAGCTGTGGGGTTCACAACCTTGGATTTTCTTTCCTCCTGCTTTAATCTACATGTCTTAGAAAATACTGTTAAGAGAAACACCCCAGATTTAATGAGCAAGGAAAGGAGCTTGGGAGATAGAAAAACATTCTTGGGGGAAAAAAAATCATCATTAGAATTGACTCCTGGGACTGATTAGATCCCAGGACCCATATGGTGGAAGAGAACCGGTTCCTGCAGGTTGTTCTTTGACCTCCACATGCCAGCTGTGGCATGTGTGTACACGTGTGCATACACACATTCAATAAACACATACATGTTAAAGTATAGTTTAAAATTTATCCCACCGATTGTGCCTTTCATGCAACCGAATTTAATTTTTAAAAGCTAGATAACGGTTTCCGCAGAGGTAAGGCCCTCCTGTCTCATTTCAGTGAGAAATAGTCATTCCTAATTAAATGGTGATTATCTGAGGCTCTGTCCGTTTGTCCGTTTTTACCGTGTCGAGATCTAGTTATAACTACGTGTGGATCTTGAAAGCTTTATGTTCTTCCACCCAGAAGTTAGGGTATCAACACATCAAGTGCATTTCCCCCAATTAATTAATTTGAATGATCAACTTTTTTGGGCAGGGGGTGAAATCACTGTTCCTGTAGTGTCTTTTTCTGTCTCCTGCTGTCTCAGGCATCAGCTGCAGCATTTACAGTTTCTCAGAAATGCCTTCCGCGGCCCCTGGAAGATGAGGCCGCTCGGGCTTGGTGTTAACATTGCTCTTCCCACCCACGCCTGCTGTTTGCTTACACATTTGACGTACGGTCTACAGACTTAACTCTTCCCCACTGACCCCCCACCACCACTGCGAGCTTCTCCCCTCTCCACTGAAGTCTAGCATAATCATCGGGCGTGCACGTCATGGTCGGCTGTGTTCTTCAGAGTGCAGGAGAAACCAGCCCAAATCCAGTACAGTTTCCTGTGCGGCCTGCTACTTTCCAATACGTGGACCGGTCACTTACCTCTCTGGGCCTCACACAGTGACAAAGGACTGATGACAGCCTTATCACAGGGTGGGATACAGTACCCTGTAGGTGGGATTTTGTTCATATGAGGAGAGGGTGCGACCTTGGAGGAAGTTGTCAGTACGTGCTGGTTACAATCAGCTTTCATTATTGATACATTTACGGGATCAGGAGTTTCTTGTGAATGCCTGAAAAACAGAGTATATTTTTCTCCTTGGAAATTACCCTTGTCAGATGAGGTATCTGTGCTAATAAATATATAACTTCTTGACATTAGTGACATGTGGAGCTAGCTCAATCTTTGTGGAGGTCATCTTGCCAATGTAGGGCATTAGCAGCTTCTGTGGCTTCCACTTGCCAGATGACTGGAGTACCCTCCAGTTGGGACACCCCAAAATGCCTGCAAATATTGCCAAATGACCCCTAGGAATGTGATTGTCTCCTACTAAGAGCCACAGATATAATTAATTGAAGTGATATGATAAAAAAAGGAAGAAGAAGCCGGGCGGTGGTGGCGCACACCTTTAATCCCAGCACTCGGGAGGCAGAGCCAGGCGGATCTCTGTGAGTTCGAGGCCAACCTGGGCTACCAAGTGAGTTCCAGGAAAGGCGCAAAGCTACACAGAGAAACCCTGTCTCAAAAAACCAAAAAAAAAAAAAAAAAAAAAAAAAAAAAAAAAAAAAAAAAAAGGAAGAGACCTTTCTGGACACAGTCCTCCTTCCTGGTCTGCTCTGCTCCAGACTACACCTCCTTTAGAGGGTGCATTTGAGCTCCCTAAGAAGCTTTGATGGGAGCACTTAGCCTCTAGAACATTCTAGGTTACACCTGTCTTCTTAGCTTATAATTATCAGGAACCTGAGCTTCATTTTCATTTCAGAGTAGCTGTGTTTTAAAAGAAACCAGGGTGTAAGTGAATGGCCTCCCTGGGTTTGTTAGGCAGCAGCAGTAAGGCTGCCCGGTGAGATATTTTAAAAGTTTACACCGCTGTTTTGATTTCTCATTTCCATTTAAATACAATAGCATTAAGAAAATGGAGGTATTCATAGGTACCAGGTGCCTGTGCTTTTCTTGAACTTGACCCCTCAGCATAGAGTGCACTGATGTATGCTGGAGGACAGTGATTCAATAGTCGACTCCGGAATGGTCATCTGTGATTATCATAAAAGCAAAAGGCACACGCAGTACTACGTATTAGTGTAAAACACGTGTATCTCAATCCATTTTTTTTTTTAGAATGCAGGACTTCTCAGTTCCTGAGTGCTTTTAACACCAGATTTGAGTTTCTGACTTGCAATTTTATTACGTTCGGTTGGAACCACTTCACCTAGAATGATGAATGATTGAATTGGCTGACCCCCCTGAACCCTTTAGATTTTTCCACAGTCGGCAACACGCAGGCACGTGTCAGCCCTTCTCTGCCTTGTCAGGTAGAGTAAAATAATGCTAGGATTATCGGAACTCTGAATTTAATGGCAAATGCAGCCAGTTCTGCAAACCGACCTGGTGGCTGTTTGGATCGGGCTCCCTGATACTGTCAGCCATTCTGATAAGAATCGAAAGGGACATGCAGCACCTTGTTAACCCGGTGGAATATTAATGCACCAAAGTGACAGGTCTATTTCCGTAAGTGGCTCTGAGGAGCTGTGTCAACGATGTGATTTTCTTTTCTTTTCTTTTCTTTTCTTTTCTTTTCTTTTCTTTTCTTTTCTTTTCTTTTCTTTCTCTCTCTCTCTCTCTCTCTCTCTCTCTCTCTCTCTCTCGTCTCTGTCTCTGTCTCTGTCTCTCTCTCGTCTCTGTCTCTCTCTGTCTCCTGCCAGGTTCCAGACTTGCTTAACAGAGCTCACTTTTTTCCTGAGGTGTGATGTAATTGCTGCAGCCTGAGTCTAGCGTCCTCCTGTGGTCCTGGGGAATGGAAGCGAGAGAAAAAGAGATGAGGAGTACACCACAGACACTCTTCCCTGCGTGCTTGCTCTCGTCTCAGACAGGCCCTCACTGCACGCTTCTCAGAAACCAGGTGATTTGTGTCGACACAGCAGTTGCTTCCAGTTTATAAGGAAGACAGAAATTTCCTGTTCAGATTATGAGCCAGAAAGATGCCCACAAGCAGGGAGTCTCCACGGAAAAGACCCAGGAGTAGTTTTTCTAGACTGTGACCTTAGGAAGGGGCATGGTGGGGAGAGAGATGAGAGTGACCATCTTCTCTTGTGGCCACGGGACTGCAGTCTGGCCTCTGAGAGACTTAGACACTCCGGGAATGCCAGCTGAAGGCCCGGGTGAGCTGAGGGCCCGGGTGAGCTGAGGGCCCGGGTGAGCTGAGGGCCCGGGTGAGCTGAGGGCCCGGGTGAGCTGAGGGCCCGGGTGAGCTGAGGGCCCGGGTGAGCTGAGGGCCCGGGTGAGCTGAGGGCCCGGGTGAGCTGAGGGCCCGGGTGAGCTGAGGGCCCGGGTGAGCTGAGGGCCCGGGTGAGCTGAGGGCCCGGGTGAGCTGAGGCCCGGGTGAGCTGGAGGCCCGGGTGAGCTGAGGGCCCGGGTGAGCTGAGGGCCCGGGTGAGCTGAGGGCCCGGGTGAGCTGGGGGCCCAGGTGAGCTGGAGGCCCGGGTGAGCTGAGGGCCCACGTGAGCTGAAGGCCCGGTTGAGCTGAGGGCCTGGGTGAGCTGAAGGCCCACGTGAGCTGGAGGCCCAGGTGAGCTGAGGGCCCGGGTGAGCTGAGGGCCCGGGTGAGCTGAGGGCCCGGGTGAGCTGAGGGCCCGGGTGAGCTGAGGGCCCGGGTGAGCTGAGGGCCCAGGTGAACAGTGAAATCCTGCTGATTTCCCAGGAGTGCCGGGTTCCTACTTGCTGAGTCTCACAGGAGGCTGGCCATCCCTGCTGGGTTGTGGCCCTTGCATAACAAGGCTGTACTTTCAGGGCCTGAGTTATAGGTCAGAGCAGGCTCGATGGTGATGATGTCAGGGATGGTCTGCGGTGCAGGAGGGAGGCCTGAGCTGGGTTTTGTAGGATAGGTAACATGGAGGGAGGGTAGCTGCTGGGACAGGAGAAAAGGGAAGTGACATAATTCTGCTTCCTTCTCCGTCTCCCTCTCATAGGCCCTCTGGGCCTGGGTCTTCATGCCTCCCAGGGGAGAGTGTTCCTGAGACGGAGGGATAGAAGGTCCACCTGTTCTCTTCAGCACTTACTCTTGGTGGTTCCAGCAACAAAAAATTCCCACCCTGGGGATGATTTAAAGAAGGCAGACATCTGTTTCTCTCAGCTCATTAGAAGCCATGGGATGAGCAGATCCTACCCAGGGTTGACCTCGGCTCCATGACGTCACAGACCCTGCTTGTTTTCTTTTGTCCACCAGTTCTCTTTAGCCTGTAGACTTATCACGTGCGTGTGTGTGTGTGTGTATACATACATGTGTGCCCATTGGTGTGTGTTCATACATGTTTGTACATTGGTGTGTATCTGTGTGTGTTTCCATACGTGTGTACACATTGGTGTGTGTATTCATATGTGTGTGCATGTTAGTGTGTGTCTGTGTGGGAAATTTCCAGTACTTTCAACATTGAGCAACCCTAGGTTAGACCAGCCATGATGCATTGTGTGTAGTTGAGTATAATGCTTCCTGGAGTGTAGTAGAGCATTTTGTGTAGGCAACTTACAGCGCACAGCATGGCAGCCAGTAGGCACAACCGCGAGAACCCACGTCATATCTCCAGTTTTGTTCAGTGGGTGAAGTGATGCTGACTGCAAGTGGGACTCCAGTGATCCACTGTAAGGAGATGGGTTCAGCAGCATTTCCCAAGCTCTTGTTACTCCTTGAAAGGTATCGGTATGAAGTGCGTTGTGAATCATCTTCTAGGATGGTAGAGCATTTGCCTGGGATGTGCAAGGTCCTAGGTTCAATCCCTAGCACTGAAACAAGTTCTTCCAGCTCCATGTCTTAAGAGTCTGTATCTGTGGGTTCAGCTGGCTCTGATAGATCTCTCTCTCTCTCTCTCTCTCTCTCTCTCTCTCTCTCTCTCTCTCTCTCTCTCCATGGACAGACCTTTTTTGTTGCCATTTCCTAAACACAGTGTAGCAATGATAGTGAGCATTTGTATTGAGTTAGGATTGTGGGTAATCAGGAGCTGTTTCAGTGTATCAGTATATAGGGTGATGTGCATAGGTTCTGTGCAAATGTACCATTTTAGATGTGGGACCCAAGCCACCTCAGAATTTGGTATCCAGTGGGGGTCTTGGGCCCAATCCCTTGTGGAGGCCAGGGACAGCTGTACTCATCACTCATGGTTTAGTTGCTGTTGTAACTAGCAGTAGTTTCTTGAGAAAGTGGGTCACTAACTTGGAGCATGGTGACTTGGAGTCCAGGGCTGCTGTAGAAGGATTGGCTCATCTTCTTGATTTATAGCATTTGCTTTCTGATCATGTTAAAAGGTAGGAGGAAGACTGCTATGCTCCGGACGGCCGTTCCTTTCATTTTTCATTAGCATTTGAAAAATGTCTCTTTCATGCAGTGTTCATTAAAGTTTTAATTTTGCAGTTTGTTCCCTTTTAAAGTGACATGCAATTAATTAAGGTTTAATGTGTCATCTATTTTTGCAGTGGCATTTTTACTGCCCCCTTTTCATTTTCCCTAGTTTATAAATTGTGCTCTAGCTAATGAGTTCCTCCTGAATTCCAGTTCCAAATAATTGCCACTTTCCTAAGACGGGAATTCTTTAATGTGTCGTCGCACGCGGGACTGAGGCTTTTAGCAGGTGAGCTTAGGGAGGTGCTCTTCCCAGCCCCGAGACTACTGTGGGCCTGCAGGGCAGGGAGGTGCCTGAGCCCCACACTCCTGGCTCAGAACAACTGATCACCCACCATGCTCCACCACACATGGGTCTCCCACACATGGGTCTCTGTAAGATACAAATGAAGGTGCCGCTGCTGGCTGGGTCCCTGGGGAGCTCACAGACTAGATAATTGCCCTAGTTCTCCTGGATGCTTTGCCAGCAGAGAGTCATAGGACTTGAACTCCTGCATGATTTTTAATTACGTTGGCCTGAGATTGGACCAAGATGAACTGAACAGCAGTTCTGCATCCATTTCAGAAGGCAGAAGTTGGCATGTACGCAGAGCTCAGCTGAGTTGGGGTATAAGTCTTCAGTGTCTTTTGCGGAAGGGGACATGGAAGAGAGATTTTCCAGGAAGTAACCGGTATAAGGAACATAGGGATGTACCTGGAAAGTCTCTAAAGAAACAGCCCACAGGGGACATAAGTAAAGTGGTTCGTTTTAAAGAGTCGTCCTATGCCATCGTGGGGATTCGGGAGTCTGAAATTTTTAGAGGGTATGCAGGCTGGGAGCTCCAGGAAACCTGTGGCTACTCTTCCAGCCTGCGGCTGATTGGACGAGGCTCACACATTTGGAAAAATAACCCTTCTGACTTAGAGTCCAATCTCTCTAGGCTTGTGCCCAGCTCAGGATTTAGTCAGACCACTGGGTACTCTGGCTGAACCAAGTGAATATAAAATTAACCAGCACGACTGTCCCAAATTCTGCCATCACTCTTTGCCTGTGGAAGAGCATCCTGGTCATCCCGCCCACTGATGCATGTATGTTTTTGTTTTTCAGGGGCAGATGTTCAAGCGAGGGATCCCCGTCGTGGGATGTCACCACAGGAGTGGGCTGCATACACTGGCCGAGTGGAGGCTGTTCGTGTCATGCAGAGGCTTATGGAGCGACCCTGCGCAGAGCAGTTCGGGGACAAGTACAAGCCGGAATTGCCGCTTCCCCCTGAGGTGCTCTTGAAGCCCCCAGGTTCCAAAAACTGCTTTCAGAGATTCGCTGAGTTCCTGCGGACCACTCTGAGCTCCCGCTCAGGCCAGAGCCTGGAGGATGGAGGCGTCCTTGATCACATGGTCAGGATGACCACAAGCCTCTATAGCCCTGCTGTTGCTGTCGTCTGCCAGACCGTGTGCCCGGAGAACCCTCCCTGTGTGGGGAAACGACGCCTGGCAGTGCAGGAAATCCTAGCAGCTAGGGGGGACCGGGACGCCTGTGCTCTGGATAGCTACAAGGCAGAGGGCTCTGACCCGCAAGTCCAGACTTTGGAGGGTCCCAGAGCCAGCCCCTGGTCATCCCAGTCCTCTGGGGCCCCAGGATCCACCCCTGCCCCTGTCTCTCGGAAGGCCAGCCTCCTGCCCTTGCAGTTGCTGCGGAGGAGCAGTGTGCGGCCAGGTGTGGTGGTCCCCAGAGTGCGCATCTCCAAGGCCCCTGCGCCCACCTTCCAGCCCGAGCGCGCAGCGCCCAAGGGCAACACCAAGGACAGCATCCACCTGCAGATCCCCAAGTGGCGGTACAAGGAGGCCAAGGAGGAGAAGAGGAAGGCGGAGGAGGCGGAGAAGAAACGCCAGGCAGAGGCTCAGAAGGAAAAGCGGGCGCCACGCTGGAGGAAAAGGACGTGAAGGGAGCCGTGATGCCCACTGCGTGTGTGCCTGGTGTGGGGAGGCCGCGCTGGGATCCAGCTGGGAGGCTGCCATGGGGTGCATGCTGCATCACACAGTCTCTGCCTGGGCCGTACTCCTTTCCCAGACCCACGAAGGGGGGTTCACATTGCTCCTAAGACAGAATTGAAAAGACTATATATGGTTTTTGCTTAAAACTAGTTCCCTGAGCAATCTATACACCCAAAGGGCAGTTTGCCTAGAAGTCACCCCTCAGAGGACCCCAATTAAGAATTTAAAAACTTAATTTATCAAAGGGCATTTTCGCATACTTTTGTATTTTGTTATTTATGAAAAATTGCAGCATTTTGCGAGTGGCAGGCTCTTTGTAATTAAGGCAGTTTTAATATTTGCGTTTGGAGACCCTTTGTTTAAAAACGCCGTCTCTAGCAATAAATACTTGTAATGACTGTGTGAGTTACACAGAACTCATGGGATTCTCTCCTGTTGCCCTTTGGTTCTGGCCTTTGCCTTCTCGTGTCCCGTGGACACACCTGTGCACTGGCTTTTCCGTTGAACTTGAGTGATGCCAAATGCCTGTTTCTACTTGATGAAGGCACGGACTGCTATTCAAAACGATCAAGTGGGATGGAAGTCTTGCTTTCGCTTCGTTTTTACATTCTTTTCCTATCGTCATCATTGTCATCATCATCATTGAAAGCGTAGGGCACATTGCAGGAGTGCATATGTTACTAGGACCAAGCTCATTTAAAGCAAAGGGCTTGGATAGACCATCTTCCAGAGGATTGGAGGAAAACAGTTATTTAAGGGGGGCAGATTTAACAAATGAGTGGTAGAAACCACGTCATATGTGCTCAGAAAAAACCAAACATGGATATCCTTAAAAATGTCAAAGCTGCCGAGGGTAAGGGATGCTGCAAAGCGCTGAGGGGCAGACAGGTGACCTTCAGAACAGGTGGTACACACTGGATGCTGGACAGTGGTTTGGGGAAGGTTTTCCTGGAGCGAGCCACACTCTGATGGTGGCCCTCTCCTCCAGAGAGTCCCTTGTGCGTTTTGACGGACAGTTCCCCTTTGATGAGCCCCAAGGTTCAGCTCATTCCCACACCAACTCTGTAGAACTTTCAGTACGTGGGGACTTAGGCGGGGATGGGATTTACCTTGGGTGCCAACCTGTCAGTAAAAGTTTTCTTTCTTTCTTTCTTTCTTTCTTTCTTTCTTTCTTTCTTTCTTTCTTTCTTTCTTTCTTTCTCTCTCTCTCTCTCTCTCTCTCTCTCTCTCTCTCTCTCTCTCTCTCTCTCTTCTTTCTTTCTTTCTTTCTTTCTTTCTTTCATTTCCAAACCATTGAAAAAATCCCAGCTGGGTCTTAGAGTATCTGTATCATGCACTTTATTTGAATATTTAATGTAAATACTTGGAAGCAATAGATTCAGAATATTACAGACTGATTTGGAAGCCCTTTGCTGAGGTCCGTCTCACACTGTGGGTGCACGTAGGGAGTGGGGGGGGGGCACTGGCTTAATTTTATTCTTTCCTCCTTGATACCATTAGACATCGAGCAACGAGTGATCTCACACTAGCCTTCCCCCAAACTCCATAAAATAGGACCTTAGGCTACTCCCAGGTGGGTTTAACACTGGTGTCACCATTCGATGTTTAAAAATCACGTTTAGTAAGTTTCTCTTTAGCCCTAGAAAGGTACCAAGGTGAATGCTGGGGTCTTGACCCTCCTCTACAGCTATTGATGTTAGTTGGCTGGGTTCACCCTTGTGACCCAAGCCTTTGGATTGGCTACGTCTCCTTGGGGGCTGTGAGGACCACAAGCAACCTCAGTTATCTTTTGGGGCCATCTTTCCTGTCTCCTTTGGCATTGTGTGTCTTCCTGTCATATACATATAACCTGCAGTACCAGCTAGCTTGTCACGGGCCCCGCCACTGTGAGCCAAGGCAGTGCCAAAATGCTTGCAATCCACGTTCCTCATGCTGTTTGTCCACAGGGTACCACACCAACGTTTTACTCCATTTCCCTGCTTCCGAGGGGGAGCTGTATTCCAGTGCAGTGGGAAGTACCAAGGTGAAGGCTGCTGAAGTTACTGCAACTGTGACTTCTCAGCAGGGGCTGTAGGAAGCCCCACTGCTTTTAGGGGGCTTTTCCTGGACACCCAGCTTGAGCTCCCATAAAGGCCCTGTTTTTGCAGGTTGTCTCCTGACTTGGGAGAGCAGAGGAGCAGGCCTGGGGATTTGCTTGCTCTTGTGTGTATTAACTGTGAATAGTGAATTCCAAGTGAACAGGTGTCTTCTCAGGGATTTATACATAAATAGAGTTAGGGGAAAAGTTGAAGTGTATTTTAAATCTTTTTGGTGTTTAAATCAATTAGGATTAAACTGGACAGAAGAAATATTTCCAAGATAGTGTCAGAGCTGCTGTTTCTAAGTGAGATCTTGGGACTTGTCTCTCAGTGGAGATTTATGGGGACCACGGCAGTGGGAATGGCTGTGGATATGGCTGTGGCTGCTTCTGGGTGTGACCCTTGTGTTAACAGTTACCTCCAGATAAGCAGAAGTGACTGACGCCGAAATGGATAATCCATAACCCCCCAGAACTGTTCATTGCACCCCTGGTCTTTTTGCCTTGCTTTCAGGGATGAAATATCCACAGTCATTCTACAGGAGGCCACAGAGCGCCTCAGGAAGGATCAGCGCCTTGCACACTTGGTCCACCGTGGCCTCCATGGCAGTGTGCCTGCTGCCCTGGAGCAGGACAGCAGGTGACAGGAGGGACTTCGCACCTTCCTCAGCCCCTTCCAGGCTGCTGGGCTACACCCGATACCTCCGAAAAAAGTCAAACTGGCCAGGGGTTTTCCAGCCCAGCTTTGGATTCCCCTGACTCCTCTTGCACATCAGGAAAGGAGGGTTCATGAGGTTGGCTAGAAAATGGGTTTTATAGACTCAAAGAGGGTGTGCCAAGAGGCCATGTCCCATTCCTTCCCAGCTGGCAGCTGGGACCAGGTCTCTGGAATGGAGCTAAGGTTGTTCTAGATAAGACAAGGCTTGTGGGAAGGGGGCTGCCTCCAGTGCCCAGGAGTCTGGAGGCATCAACAGTTATTTCCCATGCTGCTCAGAGTGATGGCCTCTCACTGTAAACTCCCTCCTGCTATACAGTAAGGGGGCTTTTCTCTTCTAGTGTTTGGGAAACTCCAGCAGGGTCCCCGTGAGTTCTCCAGTGCTGGTTACTGTCTGGATTCTGGTTTGTGCCTCCAGCCGTTGGTCCCTTCGTGCTGGACAACAATGTCACGGCTTCTAGAGAATGAAGGAGGGAACACTGACCATGATGGAATCTTAGAAAACAACAAAGTCACATTTATAACAGAAGGATACCTGGGACCATCAGACCAGGGTAGAGTGAGCCACACAGAATGAAAAGCCACTTCCTAGTCACCATTACCAGCTCCGGACATCTATGTAACTCGAGTCAATGATTCATTTCTTTGCCCTTGAAGTCACATGTTTATTCCTTAACATTTTAGGTAAGTGACTGAAAATTCCTCTGGAGGCTTTATTGTATTTATTATTATTATTATTATTTAAAGGCTCAACAGTGCTACCTGGGTTGGTCTGGCTGGGTTGGTTTGGCTGGTTTTCAGGTGTTGCTGTTGGATGCTACATGCTACACATGGGGTTTTCACACACTGCTCCGGCCTGAAGTAAGACTGTAATGAAAGGCGAAGCCACCATTGTGCGTCGGCCACCCTCAGCAGCAGGCTATATTAATGGGGACCGTGTATGATACCACTGACATGTGCAAACTGAAGGGCCAGAAGTCTGTGCTTGTAAATGTACTAGCTACAGTGGCTCACAGTGGCCCCCCAGGGAGTGTCTCTGTGACCTGTTTTGAGGTGTGGTTTCAGGCAGATTGCAAGGCCTGAGGGTCTACCTGGAGTCCCCAAATAATGTGGAAGCTGACATGGCTGGAGTTTTCACACCCTAGGCTGTCCTGTTAGAATACGGTACTGACCCAGGTGGCTAAGGGCAGATAACCAGCCACATCTGGGTCAGCTCTGGCTTTGATGTACCTCAGTTGCATGAGGGGCTCAGACCCAAAAGGACCCCCCGGAAGAGCTCTCCTATCCTCCCATAGCTGCCCTTCTGCTTGGGGGGAGTATATTCTGTGGGACTTGACCCAGGTGGACACCCTAGAACAGCATGTTATCTAAGGGAGCTTTGGGATATCCCAGTCTGCCTCGGTATTAGGTCGGCTGACTAGTTCTGGTTTTGAAAACATTCTCTTGGCTGTGATGTATGTGACTTCTGTTGTTTTAAAAGAAAATGTAGATGGGAGAGAAATGAAGCTAGCCACCCTAGGCAGGGCAGCAGGCTGTGTTCGTAGATTTGGAGAGTCGTAATCAGGCGCCTAACTAACACCAGTTAGAAAGTTCTAGAAACTGGTTCAAGATGGTGCAACTCTGAATACTCTTGACGGAGAGTGGACACGTGTGTCCAGAAGTGGTGCCACGGTCCTCTCCACCCCAACTTGGGGCCTGCTATGGTGAGAACCCAGTGTAGTGACAGCACAGTCTGCTGTGATGAATTTTCTTGGTCCAAATGATAGTTCTAGAGAGCAAACAACAGCAAGAAGAGAATGTGCTGGGTTGTGTGAGAATCTGCGTCTGCAGCAGCGGAGACCGATGGGTGAGGAATGGAGCAGACTTCTGCATGGCCGGGGGTCAGGTTCTGCCTTCCTGGTTGGAACTGTTTCCTGAGTGTGAAGCGATTTCCTTTGTCATTTCTAAAACTCCCACTTTTCTGGATGTTGTAAAGATGTTGACTATGGATATAGTAATGTAAATTCCAGAGCGTTTTATTTTGAGATGAGACTTTTGCTACAGTTTATACAAGATATTTTCCTATTTAGACCTCAGGGCTACCTTGGGAACCACTAATAAGTGTGACCCCCACCCCGCACCCCAGCAGCTTCAATTCTGGATAGACAAGTTATGTAACTTTTAAGTTAAATGTGATATTGTTCATTAAGAAGAATGTGTTTCTCTCTTTTAACTTCTGACAAATTCTGTTTTAAAAGTGTAGAAAAAAGAGACACTAGAAAAGAATAAAACAATGGTAAAAGAATTAAAAATCACCTGTAAAATACACATTCTCATGGTATAAAATTGTGATATTTGAATAAACTTATGTGCATAAATTATTTAAAAATACTATGAAATGTATGGCACTTTCCTGTCGTTTGTTTTTATTGATATGGTTTTATACATTTTATTTCCACGTACTTCCACTTTGTTTTTCAAGGGTCAGGGTCTTTAATGTGGTGTTTCTCGTGAGTGCTTCCTCATACCTCACAATGATTGACTCATGGTCCACCCTTCCAGGAAGGAGCACCCCTCAGACAGAATGTACCTCTGTTTTCCTGTGTCTTCCTTGGTCTGAGTGGCACATTGTGATATGGGTTATCTATTCAGGAATTTTTTTCATTAATTAAAATGTCCTTGTGAAGTTTTAAAAATAATTTAGAAATGTATTTTTATGTTTATTAACTGTGTGTGTGTGTGTGTGTGTGTGTGTGTGTGTGTGTGTGTGTGTGACACATTTGTCATTGGTGTGGTGGATTAGAGGACCGTTGTGGAAGCTGGTCCTCTCCTTCCACCTTGTAGACACTGGGGTCACACTCAAGTCATCAGCCTTGGCAGCAAGCCCCTTTGCCTACAGAGCCATCCTGCCAGTTCCAAAGGTGTAGTTCAGGCTGGTCTCAAATTTGTGATCCTCCTGCCTCTGCCTCTTCAGCATATCCTGCTTCCATGCACTACCATGACTGATTTAAAATATTTAAAAAATTAGTTTTAACAATAACAACAAAAAAAGGTCATAAATACGAGGAAGGAAAAAACTAAAGCCTCAGTGAAGGGTCTGTGATGAACAGTGACTCCCCTGCACTGGAGGCTGTCTCCAGAGCAGCTCCTTATGATCTTTATTTTCACTTTTAATTAAACATTTACTTATTTTACTTTATGTGTATGAGTGTTTTGTATGCCTGGTGCCCTCAGGTCTCCTGGAATAGGTTACAGATGGCTGCCAGCCTCCATGTGGGTGCTGGGAATCAAACCGAGGTCCTCCAGAAGGGCAGCCAGTACTATCCAGCCCTGTATCTTTATTTTTAAAAACTATTTTATCTATATTAATACAAATTATATGTCAAATAACGTTATAATATAATCGATACAGTTTTAAACAGAAGAAAAGATAGAAAAACATCGGGTTACAAAACACCTCCCCCAGAATGAATTAAAAATTAAAAATCACTTTCCTAAGTTGATGTCTAATTCCTATTTCATGAATGGTCAATGGAATTAAAGAAAGCCCAACTTCTACACTCACTGGCTCAAAGGAATAGCACATGCTGGATCCTTTCAAAATGCAAAGTGGTTCTTGCTATTTCAATACACAGAAAGTTGAATTCACATGTCCGCAATGAAACTAGAAAAAAAATTAGCTTTCTGTCCTTCATGTCCCACGTGTACTCCTGCCTTCTTCGTCACCTACTGTTACCCTCTCAGTCTCCTTATTCCTAAACTTTGGGACTTTACCCATACTCACACAGATTTATGTACATGTGTGTACACATTATAGGCCCATGCTCTCCCTTATATGTAGACACTGGCTTACAATGTATAGAGCTGAGGTTTTAATTTTTTAAAGATTGATGTATTTTATGTGTATGGGTGTGTAGTTGTTCAAAAGAAAATGGCTCCCAAAGGGAGTGGCACTATGAGGAGGTGTGGCTTTGTTGAAGTGGGTGTGGCCTTTGTTGGAGGAAGTGTGTCACTGTGGGGGTGGGCTTTGAGATCTCCTGTATGCTCAAGCCACACCCAGTGTCTGAGACCACTTCCTGTTGCCTACAAGTCAAGATGTAGGACACCCGGCTACTTCTCCAGCTCCATGTCTGCCTGAACACTACCATGTTGCACCAGGATGATAAAGGACTAAACCTCTGAAAATGTAAGCCACCCCAATTAAATGTTTTTTCTTTGTAAGAGTTACTGTGGTCATGGTGTCTCTTCCCAGCGTAGAAACCCTATGAGAGAGTGTTTTGTACATCTGAATTATGTGTGTGCCTGGTGCCCTCAGAGGTCAGAATATGACATGATGGCCCTTGGAACTGGAGTTACAGATGGTTGTGAGCCACCATGTGAATACTGGAAACCAAATCCAGGTCCTCTGCAAAAACAGCAAGTGTTTTCTTTTTTCTTCCTTTTTTTTTCTTCAACAAGTGTTCTTAATAACTGAACCAGCCCCTAGAACTGTGTCTTGGTTGTACAAACAAGCTCCTTGTCATGGACTATGTGGTTTTGTGAACACACTGCTTAGAGGGAACATTTTTGATCCTCTCCATTCTCTTTACTGTATAATAGTCCAGAGTGGAAGTGAACTATGATTGATCAATCATCTCCTCTTTATGGACTGTTAAATGCTCTTGGATATTACCATTTAGAGATAATAAAATATCCTGTTTGTATATACATATAAGTAATATATATGAATAAAGAAACAATATTTGTTAGGGGGAAGGAAAATGAAAGATTTTCCTTTCTCTTTAAATTTTTTAATTGAATATTTTCCATACTGTAGATTTTGATCATATTCTTTCCCCTCCCCTAAGTCCTCCAGATCCTCCCACATCCCTACCCACCCAACTTCATGTTCTTACTCCCTCTCAAAAAAACTCAAAGAAGGCAAGGAAAACCAAAACCTGAAAATCAAAACAGACCAACTTAAAACAGGAAAATCAGTAAGACAAAAAGCAAACTAAAGCAATACAAAATGAAAGGTGCATTAGAGTATGGTTAACATACACGGTGACACGCTATTGGAGAAAGCTAATTTTCCTTATCAGCTTTCAATGGCAAACAGCTCTCTGGTTAGGAGCAGGATTTGGTACCCACTTTCCCTTTCCAGTGCTGGGATTTTGTCTGGTTTGAACCTGTGCAGGCCTTGTGTGTGCTGTCACAGTTTCTGTGAGTTCATACGTGTCTCAGCCCCGTTGTGTCTGGAAAGCATGGTTTCCTTGAAGTCATCAATCACTCTGACTCTTAGAATCCTTCTGCTTCCTCTTCCTCATAGATCCTAAAACCTGGAGGGGAGGAGTCTGATGAAGACATCTCATTTAAGGCTGAGTGCTCCAAAGTCTCTTGTTATTCTTTGCAGATCGTCCAGTTGTGGATCTCTTTGTTAAGTCCTATTACTTCAAGAAGAAGCTTCTCTGGTGAGGGTTGAGTGATGCTCTACTCTCTGGGTATAGAAATGAGTCATTAGGGTTCTGTAGCATGAATTCTAATTGGTCTTAACAATAAAAAGCCAGAGCCAGATATCAGGGTAAATGCCAAAAGATCAGAGAGACAAAGGAACAAGCCACAACCACCTCTCACCTCACCAACTCCTTAGCCAAAAGGACTGAGCTCCTGTCTCCTCCACCTTATATTCCTCTCTCTGCCCAGCCACATCACTTCCTGTCTCCACCTCCCTAGTGCTGGGATTAAAGGCATGAGATTCCCAAGTGCTAGGATTAAAGGTGTGTGGTACCACTGCCTGGTTCTGTTTCTCTTAGACTGGATCAGTCATGTGTAGCCCAGGGTGGCCTTGAACTCACAGAGATCCATCTGCCTCTGCCTCTGTCAAGTGCTGGGATTAAAGGTGTGTGCCACCACGGCCTGGCCTCTATGGCTAACTAGTGGCTTAGCTCTGCACTCTGATCTTCAGGCAAGCTATGTTTGTTAGATCACAAACACATTAGCAGCACAGGATTCATTTTTTCTGTGTTCTTTAGCAGAATAACTGTAGTAGGTCCCTGATCTGTAGAGGCCCGTGACCTACATAGTCTTGAGTTCTTGGCCACTTTAGCAATGCCAGGTATGGGTTCCATCTCATGGAGTGGGCTTAAATACAAGTTTTAAATAGTGGTTGGTGACTCCCTTAACATCTGTGCCACTATTTCACCAGTATATCTTGCAGGCAGGTCTCTACTGGATGTCATAGGGTGTATAACTGGGTGATATTAGTGATGACCTTTCTCCTTTAGATGCATGCAAAGTACCTTCCAGCACCATGAATGCTAGCCAATAGGAGTGATGCTTATGGATGGGCACCAGCTCAATTTCTCTGTGTTCACTGACAAAAAAAGTGGAATCTTTAGCAATAAGGTCTTCCCATCAAGTTGTAGAGAGTAACCAATAGCCTTGTCAGTAGCCTGTGCTGTTTGGTGGGGGGTGTCGCAGGGACCCATTTGGCCAATGACTCAAAAAGATGTAATCCATTTCTGGCACTGGAGGTTTTATTTGGTGGCATCAGCTATCTGTCACTGTCCCCCTCATTATACGCCCGCTCCACTTAAGTTCCTTTCATGTATGTGTGTGTATATAATTTAGGAAGCTTCTATGACAGTAGGAAACCCACTTTCTCTTTTGAACTTCTGTAAAGTCATAGCCATTTCCAGTCTTTAAAAGTCTTTGACGGTTCATACAATTGTATAATGAGTTTTAGTCTTTTTCGACCTATTCTTCTCTCTCCTTGTCTCCCCCCCCCCCCCCCCCCCCCGTGCCTGTCCTGTGGCCCTTTCCATGGATTCTGCCTCACCCTCAGCCATCGGCCGCGGGTGAGAAAGGCCATGCTCTGCCCTCAGATCCCATGACTGACACACTATGTCGCAGCCTCTTGTCATTCGCACCGTTCTGGGGGGAGGGGGTTATGATTCCCGTGTTTTCCACTCATTTATTTCCTGTTTAGTTCTTACTGATGTTTGGTTTTCAGTTGCTTTAGGTTTTGCTTTTTACGCCATTTTAGCTGATGTGCAAGCATTTGCTCTGAGGGCCACATGGTTTTCTTTCACATCTTTTTTTGGTTTTTCTCCCGTTTTACCCACAGATGTTTCAGGTGAAAGTTGGAGGTTATTAAATCAAAAATTTCAAGACTGACTTTTATATCTTAATTTTATATTTGAGAAGGTCTTTTCTATCCTTTTAGCTCTTTTTTTCCCCTTAGTTCATGAGTTAGGTTGCTTTAGACAGTGTGGAAGCTTGCATATTTCACCTGGCATTAGTGACCCAAGGCTAGCCCGTCGAACAGCAGCACCAGCCACAGGTGGTCTGTCAGAGACAACTGCAGGCTGTACAGTGCCTGCATCTGCCCCCCCCCCCCCCCACCGTAAGCTGGCGGTGACGTCTTTAC